AGTGTGAAAAGAAAAACCTATGAGCAGCCAATTTCTCCAGGGAGAATCCTGTAGGAAAACATCGTCAAAGGCTTTACTAAAATCCAGGTAGACAACATCCACAGCCTTCCCTTCATTCACTAGATGGGTCACCCAGTCATAGAAGGAGGTCCAGTTGGTCAAGCAGGACCTGCCCTACATGCACTAATGCTGGCTGGGACTGATTTCAGTCAATTTTTATTCTTTTTTCAGTAAAAGCACTGAAGAATTTTTTCCTAATGTCCAATCTAAAGAGACTGACACTGACCTTGCTACAGTTTGCTTTCAGGTAGTTGTAGAGAGCGATAAGGTCTCCCCTGAGCCTCCTCATCTCCAGGCTAAACAATCCCAGTTCCCTCAGCCGCTCCTCACAGCACTTGTGCTCCAGACCCTTTGCCAGCTTCGCTGCCCTTCTCTGGACACACTCCAGCACCTCAATGTCTTTCTTGCAGTGAGGGGTCCAAAACTGAACACAGTATTTGAGGTGCGGCCTCACCAGTGCCGAGTACAGGGGTATGATCACTTCCCTAGTTCTGCTGGCCACACTGTTCCTTATGCAGGCCAGGATGCTGTTGTCCTTCTTGGCCACCTGAGCACACTGCTGGCTCATATTCATCCAGCTGTTGACCAACACCCCCAGGTCCTTTTCCACCGGGCAGCTTTCCAGACACACTTCCTCAAGCCTGTAGTGTAGCATGAGGTGGTTGTGACCTAACTGCAGGACTCCGCACTTGGCCTCGTTGAACCTAATGCAATTGGCCTTGGCCCATCAATCCAGCCTGTCCAGTTCCCTCTGTAGAGCCTTACTACCCTCAGGCAGATCAACACTCCCACCCAACTAAACGTCATCTGCAAACTTACTGAGGGTGCACTTGATCCCCTTGTCCAGGTCATCGATAAAAATATTAAACAGAACTGGCTTCAATACTGATCCCAGGGGAACACCACTTGCAACTGGCCACCAACTGTATTTAACTCCATTCACCACAGCTCTTTGGGCCTGGACATCCAGTCAGTTTTTTACCCAGCAAAGTATATGCCTGTCCAAGCCATGAGCAGCCAGTTTCTCCAGGAGAATGCCTGTAGGGAACAGTGTCAATGGCTTTACTAAAATCTATGTAGACAGCATCCAATACCCTTTCCCTCATCCACTAAGCAGGTCACCTTGTCATAGAAGGAAATCAGGTTAGTCAAGCAGGACCTGCCTTTCAGAAAGCCATGCTGACTGGGCCTGATCACCTGTTTGTCCTGTATGTGCTGCATGATGACACTCAAGATGATCTGCTCCATAACCTTCCCTGGCACTGAGGACAGACAAACAGGCCTGTAGTTGCCTGGATCATCCTTACAGCCCTTCCTGTAGATAAGCATCAGATTTGCTAACTTCCAGTCAACTGGGACCTTTTGCTCAAGTCCAAACCATTTTGGCATTGATTGCAAGAGCAATCACAAGCTTGTTTGCAACATACTTTTATCCATAAGGTACACCTACACTTGTACTACAAGGTGTAAGTTGCATGGTTAAATGTGCTCAAGTAGTGTTATGGTCCTGATATAGAATTTAAAATGCTGATGAGGAAAAACTATGCAAATGTTTAAGTCTTTCTTTAATATTTGCTGCCTTTAAAAATATTATGTTTACTCAGAATGTTATTAGAGAAGATTATTAATTGAAATATTTGACAAACATATTCGTACCCCTATTCAGGAGTTTCAGGAAAAATATTATAGCAGTACAATAAAAACATTATTTCCTTCTAATTATTCCTTCCTAGTGTTCAGATTATGATTTATGTCAAAGAATATCAGGACAAAGGCAACACCCAGATTCAGGGCAGGTGTATCAGAGGAACCAGTGGGATCCTAGCGTTATTGAAAAGCATAGGAAAGAGAAAGATCAGCATGAAGAGGAGAATGAAAAAGAAGATGAAGAGCAGGAAGAAGAAGAGGTAAATACTACTGATTTCTAAATGGTACAAAGCAAAACAAATTCTGATATTGTAAAATACCACCGTACTACATTATGAATTAATTTTGCTGAACTGTAGTCTTAATTCAGTTTCTGTTCTGCTTTAAGAGATGTGGTATAATACTTAAATGGTAGGTTTAAATCACAGCAAATGATGATTATGACTGGTTTAATTTTCTAACTCAGAATTCACTTAACTGTTTCTTGCCATAAGTTAAAATAGTGTATTAAGACAATGGTGACTCTATACTGCCTGTTTCTTGGCCTAAGCAAATAAAAGGGTTCTTAATTTTTGTTTATTTTAGCAAGTTTTACTAGGATTTGCAGGATACTAGCTTGTTTTCTCATTTTGGTGTTAGACTGCTACAGATGGATTTTGTTTTCATGAAGATATTAATTTTGAATTCAGGTTGAATCATTCTTATTTATAATGCTGGCCAGAGACATACCAGTGCAAGTTCTAGGCACATTCCTCTTGATTGGCAGAAACTACACTTCATCAGGATAGGAGCACATCAGCAATCACTGGGATAATACTGTTGCGCTACTCTGGAAAGCAACTTCATTTACCTTTGAGTAAAGATAAAAATTAATTTAGTACATTATTTTATTTCTGTGTCTTGAAATATTTAACTTTTCATTCTGCAGACTGCAGAAGATCCACTTATGAAGTCAGAATTTTTGCATCAATTAGTGCAGAGGCCTGAAGATACTATTGAAAATGCAGAGGAGAGAGTTGGAAAGTATAAGGATATAATGCTTCATCCTTTAGAAGTAAGAAAAAACAAAATAATACTACTATGCATAACAAAAGACTTTAAAAATATTTTGCACTATTTTCTTCCTTTTTTTTTTTTAAGTTTGAGATTTATTATATGAAGGCAGGCAGAAGGCATGCTACAACATATCCCCCGAGTTCTGAAATTCATACTGAAATCACTGATAGGAAGTTATCATCTGTAGGTCTTGTTTCTACAAGAAGATAGAGTAATCCACTTTGAGTTTTAAAAGTGAAACCTTACTTGCCACCACAGACAATTCCTTAGTCTAGAAGGTGAAGTAATTGAAGAGCCCAGTGTATCATCACCCTTATCAGAGTCCATTCTAGCATGCAATCCCATGGGAAACCTGCTCATTGCAGTCACTACCTTCCACTTCAATAGATTCCCTTCCTCACCTGATTCACTGCCTGCAGATTTATATACCCAATTATTAGCCCATCAGTTTGCTTTATCATCTGTTTCATTTCTGCAGCTGTGAAATTGTTTTTTCTTTCTTTGCTATGTTCAGGAAAGTTGGATTTACTATGTGTCTTTTCTGGTTTTTTTACCTAAAAAAACAAAACAGACCCAAAGCCATAATTCGTTCTGTGCTTTTTTTTCTTAATCTCCTGGTACAAGCAACTCCAAGAGCCTCATGTTTGCTGCACACTTAAAAGAAAACAGGGGTCTGATATTGGCCCAGGTAGAGATTGAGACGATGAAATATAAAAAAAAGGCTTATGAAATGTGCAGTTTGCATTGAATTGGGATAGGTAGAAAGAACTTTAGAGAAAAGATTTGATTTCTTGGTAAGTTGTTGGGATGAAATAGTACAGTTAGGGAGAAAACATAGCAAACAACTACAGCATGAAATAATTGGCTAGACCTCAGTACTGCAAGCAATCTGCAATCTTGGGGGCTTAGTTAGTCATAAACTGAGTCAATAAATGTAATGCTAATATGCAAAAGTAAATATTATGGATGGACTAACAAGCTCGTTGTATATCAGAGACACAAACTGTTATCTTGTCTGTAGAAGAGTATTAGAAAGAAGTAATTAGTTATTATCTATGTCTGCCAAAGATAGTACAACTAATTTAATTTGTAGTATAGAAGACAGACTAAATGCAAGGAAATTAACTCTGACCCGTAAGTGTAGTGAAGAACTGGAATAGATTACCTAGAAAGCTGTAAAGTCACCTTCACTAGGCTTTTTCAGGGCTGGGGTTAGACCATCCTCTGTCAGGAACGGAGTGAATGTTCTCACTCCTCAGGCAGAGACATTAACAATGGATGTGGGATGTTTATTTTGGTCGAATATCTTATTTACTAATGGGAAAATTGAAAATAAGAAAAATCAAATATATTGTTCAAATTTTGCAGAGATTGAGAATCATAACCAAAATGAAAACATTGTTCTAATGGCTGGTATTTCAAAGAAATCTGTTAATTGTCATTGTCTCCATTTCCCAGCAGTGAATTCAGGTAGTTAGAGAATAACAAATTGAGTCCATGCACATAATTATTCTGTATCTTTCTTCTTTGTAGCTCTCTTGGATTTGATCTAGGGTGTCTGTTTGTTTTCTGAACCCATTGTAACTCCAGTTTTGGAATTGTCACTCTATTTATCTATCACGAAAATAAAGCTTTTCTCCAGAAGATTTCATAAGTCATTAGCACAATGGATCTTGGTTTTGCTGAAGTCCACAGGAGTCCAGCCTTTGATACATATAGGAGCAGAATGAGATTCAGCGTAATTATCAGCTTAACCATACTAATTTGATGAGCATGTCTTTGTTCTTAAACAGGACTTGATGGCTGAACAGGATTGTCGCTATCTTATTGAACTGAATGGAAATCAGCAACCAGATGATCTCTTTGTAGTAAGCTATGCACCAAATTAATTAACCTCCACTAGAAAATAATTTCTCAATTCTGTGGATTGTTTTCTGTATTAAGGTGTTGGCAAAATTTTAAGTTGTGTATAAAACTCATTTAATTATTATTAGAAAACCATGACCTTTGAAATGCTTGCTTTTGTTGCTCTTTAAGACAGTTATAAGATTCACTGTATTGTCCCCTGGCTTACATGTACGTCAGATGAAAATATTTTAAGGCAGGCTACAAACTCTTTTCTATTGTATCCGTTTTTAATACTTTGTTTTGTGTATTAGTGTAAAATACCATTATTAACATGAGAAATTAAAACATTTTCAGCATGATAAATTTACAGAATTGGCTTATTTTGTGCTGGTGTCTGAAATAATGACAATTTTTTTGAACTTTGTTATGGTTTTACAGTGTAATAGAAGACATTTCGTTCTTTTCCATTTTACAGTTTTGCTGAGTGCTTGTGTCTACATTTTTAGCTCATATAATAGCAACTCATTCTCCCTATTAAAAAACTTACAATGATAAAATTTGAAGGCAAATAATCTTATCCTCTACCTCAGAAAAAAAGAGTTGATTCAAATCAGAACCTGAAGTATGGGCTTGAAAATGAAGTGAGAGATGGTTTTTGACAATGTAGCAAGTGAGCTTCTCCTGCAGTTTCCCCTCTGTTTTTTGAAACAAATTGAATCAATTATAATTCTATAAGTATTATTTCCATTTATGCTTAACTTTACTACCAAGAGTAATACTATGGGAAAAAACCCACTAATTTTGCAGAGTTGGAACATCAAATTTCCTCATTTATGATCTGTTTGTGAACATTACAACAGATTTATATTAGTAAGTTGTGTAATGATTCCAACCATTTTATCTATAAGTAAGGCCAAGACCTATTATGAAACTAGTCCAAACATGGCAAAATTTGCTTTTTCATTTAAAGATCACTTGCATTCAAGCAAGATTACATCCAGGAAGTACTTCAGTTAAATTTAATATCATCTGATTCTCATTGGCAGACATCTGGTTTAAGTATTTTTTAAAACAAATTACTCAAAGGTGTGTTACTTCCAAGTGTGCATAATCTGATCCCTTAAAGAGATTTTCCTCCTTTTCAGATTGGAGCTCATCTGAATACTTCCACTGCTCTGTAGGAAAGAATCCTTCACAGCCTATTTCTTTAGCAGGCTTGGGATTCACAGCATGATGAGGAGCTATAAAGGCTGTGATTCAGCATTTTGCACTGCCTATATCTACCAAATAGCTTGTTAAAACTCAGCCTAATAACTAGCTTGACTCCAAGCTAGGAATTGGTGTATATGTAGCCATATATAAATAGTAAGCTACAATTTAAAAAATAATTTGGGGGTGCTTTGGATCACAAAACCAGTTTTGACTGGTACTAAGTCAAGATGTATTTTCTCTTTAGTCAGTGATAGTCCGACTTCAGTCTCTGGGTGTTCGAAATGGAGCTCCTATAACTAGACTTCAAAGTCAGCAAGAAGAAATGCTGGAGGGACTGGAAAATGTAAGTGTGCTTTTTCTAAAATGTGGTTGACTGTAATAATTATAAAAATATTTTTTATTTGCTCCTGTAAGCTTATATTATAACATCTTTATTTCACAGCAACCAGTTTGCTTTACCATGCAATAAGGGCACTTTTTAAGCCTTGATTTTACAGAAATGTGAATTTAAGATAATTCTGGGACTGAAATCCACTTAAAAGAGTATGAAATGAAAAAAATATCTGTGATTTTAAAAGAAAGTTAGGTGATTAGAATAAAATTTTGAACAAAATGTTTGTTTTAGCAGTAGAGCAATAATGAATTCCTTCCAAGAAAATATGTTAGCCAAAGGATAACAATCTCAGCAGCTGACTCTTAGCTCAGACTTTACTCTTTTCCTGAATGAGAAACAGCATGCTAATACAAATTTAGCGACACCCTGCAAAGCTGAAACCACGTACATTGTATTTCCTTTAATTAATTAGAACATGACAAGTTAGTGTTGAAAGTTTCTGCATCATGACAATGATAATTTGTGTCCCTTCCAAGTAAAATGAAAAACAGAAGTCTTTGCATGAATGTCTTCACCTATATTCATATTTGCTACTTCTTAAACAAAATTTTGACTATATGAATGGGACTGTAACTGGGAGACCCCACTAAAAATTTTCAAAGACCCCTCCCTTCACTTTTCTGTTTTCTCAGTCCCTGACAAATTCACAAGTGAAGGGCTTTCTATGTCAGAGGCCATTTGTATTTATTTTTTAGCTAGTCTGCGTGTTTGTGTTAGTTTGTGTGTAAGCTTTTAGCATCCACAATATTTGGGGCAGTGAGTTCTGCACTTACCTGGACATTATATACCAAATTGCTTCTCTTTGTGTTGAACCTTTTAGCTCAGTATCCTCTAGTTGTTGATAAGCTCAGTAAATAGTTTTCTTCTCTGTATCTGCCCTCTAATAACTCATGATTTCAGACTTCTGTCCTGTTCTTATGTAGCTGCCTGGTTCCTGGACTGAAGACATCCATGAAAATCTTTTTGTGTGATCACTCATATTACCTTTTAATGAAACTTTTCTAATTCTACTTTTTGAGATTAGAGTAGCAGAATGCACATAGCACTGAAGATGGGGGCAGGATTTATACAATAAAAACACAAACCTTTATCTTCTATATTCTCTTTGCTAAACATTCCTAATATTCAGGTAGATTTTCTGACTGCTTGTGGACATTGACCACATGTTTTCATGGAAGTATGTATTGTAATTCCAAGATCTATTCCTGAGTAGTGACAGTCAACGAAAAGTCATCATTTTCTGTGTAAAACTGCTATTTTAATGCCCAGCTTCCTAGATTCTGAAGGTTCTTCTGCAGTTCTTCACAGCCAGGACTTAACTGTACAATTCTGAATAATTTAAAGTCTCTGTAATCTTTAGGATTCACTCATTATTCACCTTCTATAAAAGATCTGTTAAACTTACTCCTATCACATGAAATTTCTGCATGCCTAAAAGAGGTATTTTGGCCTTGTTATTCTCCCACACAGACCATGGTCCTTTCTTCACCACCACTAGAAGAAATCTTGCCTATTTTCTGTCATCTTCAATAAATGGCTGATTTATACCTCTTTATCATTTTAAGCTTCTGTAAATAATAAATAAAACTTACAGTAACTCTTTTAAGTACTATTTTTATTAAATGAAACTGAAAACATGAATAGTTTCACCTTAAAATTGTCCTACAATTCTGAAATATGTATTTTATAAAAAATATTTTAAAAAGCATGATGTGGTTTTCTGTTTAGATTTGCTTATTTTCCAATAAAATATTTTTTAAAAAGCTAAGAACAAGGGCTGTGTAGCTTCAGATAAAAATTACATATGCTGTTATTGCTGTTTTAATAAACAGGATGAACTTTTCCGGGTTCTGTCATCTTACAAACTAATAGCACACAGATATCGATGGCGTAGAAGCAGGTGGGGACAAGCATGTCCTGTGGCTCTAAAGCAAGGTGATATTGTAATGGGAAGTCCAGACTTGGCTGTCAGGTTAGCAGAATTTGACACTTTCTATTTTTATTTCTATTTTATAAGAAAACTGTTTGTATCTGTTCGCTTCTCTTCTGTTCTAAGTTTTCTAGGTAAAATGTATGCACTGTCATCCCCAGAGGCATTGAAAACGTTTATGTTGAATCCACGGCCTTACCTGTTACCACCAATGCCACTTCCTCCTTGCAAAGTACTTGTATTTGGTCCTCCATTTTCTGGAAGAACAACTATTTGTAACCTAATTGCACACAAATATAAAGGAAAGGTAGGTTTATAAATGTCCTATGTATAAGGATATCAGCTGAGGCTTGGGAATCATTTAGCACATTCTTACTCCTGTTGTGTTATTAACATACATTTTGCAAACAGATGGATTACAGAGGAAACAGTAAAGTAGTGAAATTCATCTATATAAAAGTAGCTAAATCTCAAAAATACTATTTACCCTCTATGTCAGACAAATATTTATGTGTCAGTTATTTGCCTTAGCATAAGAATATTATGAATAACTTCTGTATCTAAGATAATTAAATGTAAATGCAAATTGGAAATTATTTTTCCCAGAAAAATAAAAACCTGCACTTGATTTACATGTAAATTTTTCTGAAATTTACAGAGCTTTTCCATATTCGTTTCATTATATAGGAGTTGTATCAGATGCTATATTTCTCTTCTGTGCAATTTTTTTTTTCAAATCATTTAACTAGGTTCTTGATATGGCCAAACTCATTCAACCCCATATGGAAGAATCAAGAGAAAAAAACATTGAGCAAGTGCAAAGGGATACAGTAGAAAAGGCTATAACAGCAGTGAAAAATAGGTTGGAATCAGAAAAGCAGTCAAGAGAATCAGGTGAGTAAGGTGTTCTGTGGTCTTTGAAGATACCTTATTTGCTTTAGGTTATTTAACTGAAGTAATTGCTGTCACTTCACCAGGATTTTGCAGCTTGATGAATTCAGAAAAGATTTTGAGAAGATGAAAATAACACGGTCTTTTAATATCTTTTAAACAAAATTTGGATTTTCTTTCTGCAGAAAATTTAGTGGGGTTTTTTCAAAATCATTTCTTTTGAAATGAAAATTCTCCCTGGAATTGGAATTGCCTTTTCCAGTTGGCTCTAGTTACGGTTCAAATGGACAAACAGGCCATTTCACCTTAGTCAACTAAGAAAGGTATCGCCATATTTGGGTAGATACATGTCAAACAAGAAGTCAGTATATTCCCCTGGTGGTGCAAAACACAGAAGCTGACAGTGATACAAAAAAACACTGGTGTTGCAGTAGAAATAATGACGAACTGGGACACCAAAATTAAAACCATGAAACACTGTTATGTTCCAGATTCCTGGCTATGTACTTTTCAGGCCAATTATGTGAAATCATGTTAGGATTAATGAGAAATTAATCCTAATTAATAAGATTGAAGAGTTCAAGCAATTTTATTGCAAAACAGAACTACAAACAGATGAAGGATGTAAATTGTCATAAAAAGTAAAAAAGTAAGATTCAAACTAAAAAGGTAACATATACACACTGAGAGGGTCCCAGACTGTTAGTGTGCTCAGGTGACATCCAGCTCAAACAGAACCACGTTGTTCTGTTTGGGGAGAGAATAGGGGAGGGTATTTAATCTGTTGAACTGAAGAATTGTTCAGTACTTGTGTATTTTTAGACTCTTCTGGCTTTTGTCATATTTCTCATCTCTTTTTTTTTTTTAATGGGAGAAACAGGCATATAAAAACTGATAGAGAGCCACTTGTGTCTCACAGGCTGATGGGTACTAGTCTTACTTTCACTATGGCTGGAAAAGTTCTTGTGATTCCTAGGAGCTGTGTTGGGGGATTCCACAGATTGGAATCTGCAGATGAGGAGAAGGCTGGCATATAGCTGGTTTAGTCAGGTGGATTTTGTGGTGAAGTATTTGTTTGTATAAAAGGTTTTTCTACCGATCTAGTTTTCTGTGAATTTAATACAATTTCATAACTGTAGGACACTGGCAAGAACCTAGTTGTGTCAAAGAACCAGATGATTCTGAAGAAACCACTTAAACCAGACAGGGAGTAAACTTGGAAGAGAGGACTGTTATAAAATCTGCCATCATCCAAAACTGTCAAAAGTAAATCTTACCTACTTTAGGCCTGTCGCTCCATGCCTTCAGTGTGTCTTGCAAATTGAAAAGTGAAAAAGAATCTTTTCTTCCCCTTATTTACATCTGTAGATTAATGCTTTTTTAATCTTTTTCCTTGCTGTTGATACTGTCATTTTGAGACACCTAAAATGAAATGCTTGGTTTTGTCATTGAAAGATATTAACCCTTTAATACCACATTACTGTACGGGGGAAAAAAATCCCACTGATCTTTGTAGGAGCTAAGAATGTATTTTGATGAAAAGTCTGATATTTTCACCTGCATATCTTTTTATAGCATAAGAATTTTTTTTAAATATTTAATAGATAAAGAGAATATGTGTTCATTCACACACAAACGTAAAATAAGTAAAGAGAGGATCTGAATTCAGGAGTTGGAGTTTTGTCGCTTGGATATGAGAAACTGAGAAGTATGCTAACCTCTTCAAATATACTTAAACAAGTGAAATGTGTTTGTAAGTCTCTCATAGTTTAGAAATGTAGTATTTTTTTCCACACAGAACAGACTGATATTTCATCTCAGCCAAGGAAGGTAGATCATTAGGTAGATCCAATGGACATTAATTAAATATATTTATAAGGATCTAAAATGGAAATGAAATAAATGTGTATTATGAGACAGTTTGTACAAACCTCTTTGTCTTTTTAAAGAAAAATATTTATTCCTTTAATTTATGACATTCTATACCAGCAAAAAATATGGAAGAGAGCACTAAAGAAAGATCTATTTCTTTACCTGGAGAAGTACAATATAATATCTTTAGCTGCTATAACTGTAAAGTCTGCTTGGTTTTGGGTTTGCGTTGGGCTGAGGTTTATTTTCAGAATGGATTCACTTAGTAAGATGTTGTCTCTTTCCCAGGAAGCTTGTAGCTTTGGAAAAATAACCTGATAATGTGTGAATTTGTGCATGTAAAAAGTATGAACACAATCAGAAAAAAATCTTAGCATAATAACAAAAAATAATTATGGCATTTTTTTCCAAATTATACTCTTCACATAGCAAGTATTGCAGTTGCTTAAAACACTTCTTCACCAAAACAGTGTGTAAACTGTGAAGTAACTCTGAGTTGTCTTTAAAAAAATTTAAACAATTAGAGTCTGTTGTGCCAGCAATTAATAACAAAATATGGACCCAATATGAACATTTTGTTTATCTTAGGGAATGCAGTCTTCTTGATTATTGACAATATAATGTCTTGATCTATGATTTGTACTGATTTTTAAATTAATCTGGTCAACCTTTTGATTTAGGAATCAAAGAGAAATCAAAACAAAAGAAATTGATGGTGGTGCAGGTGCCTGATTTTTCTAGTACACAAATGTCATTCCATTCATATTGAAACAATATTTTACTTAGTAGTAGAAAATACTGTACAGTTAAACAGGGGTGGGTTTTTTTTGTAATCAGAGAGAAAACAGAGATCTTAAACATTATCTTTATGAAATACCCTCTAGAACTGCATTTAGAAGAAATGGTATTTGATTCTTTCTCAGTATGATGTGTAATATTGCTTAAAGTGACTGCTGCACTGTAGTTATGAAGTGGCTAGATTTAATTGCCTAGCATTTACTCCTGACCAGAGAAAATAAGTATTTCAGAACTTTGTGAAGTGCTTTAAAAAATCTGTATTGTCAGGAATGTCAGAGATAACTGCTGATCACCCAGAAGTTCAAGCGATAGTAGAAGATGCCATTAAAAGTGCATCAGCCTCCGAAGTTACACTGTCACCTGAAATATATACTGAAGTACTGGAGAGAGCTACTGCAGAGGTAAAAACTACAAGTACTATATAGCAAAGCACTTTTTCTCTAAGAGCAGGCTGTAACAGTTTACACATTATTGATATATGTTCTTAATTTTTCCGTTTGAAAGATCAATTTAGTTTATATCACATAGTCTAAAAGCTTACATAGGATTGAGGAGAGAATGAGCAAGATCATGAAAGAAGAATCTATTGAGAACTACTACATATATATATATATATACACACAAATTATTTCTGTCTTGCAAAGTAGCTGGGCTACAAATTGTTAGAGGTTGGGAGAATTATCTGAGGGAAGTATTACTATATGCTTACCCTATTCTTATACACTTAGTCACTACTAAAGAGCTCAACACCAGATAGAAGCGTTTGAAAAGAATTGTGTATGAGGGTTTATCCAAGAATCTTGAATTGTTTTAAATTTGTTCGCTGGTTTGTAACTATTGAAACCGGATCCTAAATTCTTTATAGGCAACCTTAAAAAAATCACTGGCACGTTAATCTCCTTTTGTTTAAAATGTTTTTATTTCAGTTATTAATATCTTACTTTTTGTTGACCTGAGATGACAGTAGGGAAAAATCAGAACATTTAGAAAATCATTTTGTATTGTGCACTTTTTTAGCAGCTCACAGACTATCTTAGTCTCTTTATGTTACTGAACCTGACATTTTATAACAGCTTATGAAGAAGAACAAAGACAGGTTTCCTGGTGCTCCAGAAAAAGGAGGATGGGTAGTGGATAACTACCCTCTGTCAGTAGATCACTGGTCAGCTTTATCAGAAAAAGGACTTTTACCTGACACTGTTGTCTGTCTGAAGGATACAGAAAAAGCTGGTTAGTAAATGCACAGTAATGAAACTTAGTATTTTCTTTTCTTTTTTTCTTTTTTTGGTGTTGGTATCTGTATATAATGCACACTTATAAGAAAAACTAGTAGTTAGGTCCCATTTGTAAAATTTCAGGGGTCTAGGAATGAAGAATCCAGTGAATCAACACAGGGAACCCCAAATTTCTTACATTTTGGATTAAGGGAATTACACAGAATTGAAAACAGGAACGCTTTTCAAAAGCTGTAAGGACGATTCCTCCTATTTATAATCCTATTTATAATTTTCTCCTGTTTACAATCTGCGGTAAATACCACTGGAATCTCGCAGTTTCAGACTTCTGTATTCTGTGTGTGGCTGGCCATCAGCTTGCGATGTGGCACTCAGTCAAATTTCCCTGCCTGTGCATTGGTTTCCCCACTTGCAAAATCAGGTTATAGATATAAACTTTCTCTGCTTGAGAGGAGGGGAGAAATATGCAGGTGTATCCCATTCCCTATCCTGGCGTCAAAACCAGATTGATACAGTAATTTAGTACCCATGAATTCAGAGGGAGAGATTTTTACTTTATTGTTTCAAGCAGCAAGGAAGGTTGGTACCAGGCATGACAAATTCAAGAGAGTCACACACTGTTAAACGTTTTGCCTGCCAAAGCATGTCTTCATGCTTGATTCATACCACCCCTCAAGTTTCATTGCCCTGTGGCAATGTTTGCTCATTACCTGTTTAACCTAGTCCATTATCAAAAGGTCTTTCAGAAGTAGAAACTTCCCTTCCAGAAAGGAATGATAGGTCTATTCATGTTTAATTCAAGAAAGCTCAGTAACTGCGCTTTTAAGAAGCATGTCATCTGATCAGCTAATTATCCTCACAACTCAGCTACAGTACCTAAACTTAGTCACATAGCCTTGTGAAATTTTGTAATACCTTAAACATCTTCACCAAAAAATCTTCCAGTGTGGCTGGAGCTCGTATGCAGACTGAATAAAGACTGAACATTTCTATGAGAAAGTGATAGTTCCAGAGTTTTTTAGAAAATCATATTTGCTGTTCCTACCATTCATGAGGACCTCATCTCAGAAACCTCCAGAAAGAACTTAAGGACAAATTCCATTTCTATGCCTCAACGTTTCTTCCCAAAAATTTCAAGCATATTGAAATATTCATGAACCTAGTTTCTGGGACACAGTGAATTGTCCTTTCTTACAACTACAAAAAGCACCTTATTCAGGTAGCTGGCGTGCAGTAATGTAATGTTAATTCAGTACACTAAATAACAAACAGCAGGAGTCAAGCTCTAGCCTTTTCTGCTGGGAGGGGACAGAGGTGGGAGAGGACGGAGGTGGGAGAGGTGCTTTTAGAATTACAATAACCTTTTTCTTCTCAGAATTTAAAAGATTAGTGAATTAATTGGATAAAAGAAAAAGTTGTCTCATCGTCCCTGAAAGGCTTTATTCTATGTGCAAATTGAATGCAAATCATAAAATCATAGAATCTGTTAGATTGGAAAAGACCTTTAAGATCATCAAGTCCAACTATGAACCTAACACTGCTAATACCAATACTAAACCATCTCCTTCAGCACCACATCTACATGTCTCTTAAATACCTCCAAGGTTGGTGACTCAACTGCCCCCCTGGGCAGCCCTTTCCAATGCCTGACAACCCTTTCAGTGAAGATATTTTTACTAATATCCAATCTAAACTTCCCCTGGTGCAATGTGAGGCCATTTCCTCTTGGCCTGTCACTTGTCACTTTGGAGAAGAGACCAGCCCCTACCTCTCTGCAACCTCCTTTCAGGCAGTTTTAGAAAGCGATAAGATCTCCCTTGAGCCTCCCCTTCTCCAGGCTAAACACCCCCAGCTCCCTCAGCTGCCCCTCATAAGACTTGTGCTCCAGACCCTTCCCCATCTCTGTTGCCCTACTATTTACTATTTGTAAACTGCCATAACAAATCAGAGTGAAATATAATACTGGCAGACTTCCTGTTGCATATAATATGAACAGACTTCCTGTTGCGTTAAAACAGGATATTACAAGAACACAGATATTCTCAGGGCAGCAACTTAGGGCTTTGCTGATTTACCATCCATTATTTTAAAGGCTTATATGTCACTTGCTCAATTTGATCAAGTAATACTGAAATCCTTCATCAAATGAAACAATATTGAATCCTTTGAATGAGAAACTCTTGTGCTGGTACCCAAGGAAGAAAGAATAGTTAGTTATGGTATAGTAATTGTAATTCTTCTGGATGTTCTGCATATGATAATGCTGTTGTAATGAAAGCTGCTTCACTTCAGTTCAATGTTGTTTGGACTCTGGATAATGAAGTAAATTAATGCTCTTTGGCATTGCTGATATTCATAATACTGTGAGAAAATGCAAAGATGGGCAAATGATTGCCTGAGCCACCAAGCAAAGCCACTGAAAACTCTCACAGCTTTTTGGCAGGAGAATACCAACAAAAAATTATCTAAAAATGAGTTTACAGACTACATTTTTAAAAAAATCCCTTCACTCACCCTACCTTTTTCAAAAAAATACATTTAATTGAAAGTATTAGTTTAAAACATAAACCATTCACACAAAATTATTGTCTGCTTCAAATCAGCACCAGTGCTCCTAACAGCCCCTTCCCTGGTAGTGTTCAAGGCCAGGCTGGACAAGGCTTTGAGCAACCTAGTCTAGTGGAAGGTGTCCCTGCCCACGGCAGGGGGGTTGGAACTAGATGGTCTTTAAGGTCCCTTCCAACCCAAACCATTCTGTGATTCTATGATTCTATGTTTCTCACAGTTCAAATTTAGATAAAAATACATTTAATGTTAGTTGGTGATAGTGATCACATGAGATACGGGAGGAACAAGTATGAGTAAAGTAAGGTGAAAGAGACAAGATCATAATGTCTGCTATAGGGTTAGGCTAAAAGTGTAGCTTTTTGCTTATGGATATATTTCCTTGAATTTAGCTTTTTGTTTGTTTGTTTTCATTTGTGTTCACTTTTTATTTGATTCCCACTAATTTCTCTCAAATAATAATGTAGTTGTGGAGTTCACATTTTTAGTGAATTAGTTTGTAAGCTTATTAGTTTGTAAGCTATTCCCTGAACTAGTCTAAACTGGCATAACTCCATTGATGGAAATGCCTTTCAGCCACACAGCCATATATCATAAATCTATTTGCCAATGTAAATAAGTCAGTAGAGTTCCTAGTAGGAACAGCACGTTCTTCATTTTTGTCAACCAGCTATAGTAGTATAGGTATGCACATTCTTTATATTTTTTTATTTCAATGTTTTTCATTTGTTTCTTCATCATTTTCTTCATACACATAGAAATACAATAAACACCAGAGTAATGCATAATATACAGAAATATAAGACAAATCCTTTTAGTGTCATCTCCCCTTTAGCCTTCATCATAACATTCCCAGATCCCAGACTCAGTTTATTAAGTGCTTGAAATTTGAAACAAAGCCCTAAAATCTTAGAAAGCAACAGTACAATGAAATTTCTGTGGTATATATGCCTTTTCTTGTCTTTAAAAAGAAGTAGGAAAGTTGTCTATCATTTATTAAACAATTTTCCTAACTCAAATAACTTTAGTCTTATACAGATGCATAAAACTCATTACTGTTGTGTAACTGTACTGCAGGAACCTGTATACTACGCAGAACATACTTGGCAAATAGGGATGAAATTAATCGTAAGATTTTGAGAAGACTAGCAGATGAAGCATTAGAAAAGAAAGAAGAAGAAGAAGTAAGGTAAAATATTCCAAATATCTGAACGTATAAAATGAGCACAAGAAAATTCTAGCCTTACTTTGTGCTAGAGGTATCAGTGCATTTATCAACACAAATGTACTAAAACAGTACACTGAGGCTAGTTGTGATGTGTAGGAAATAATCCAATATGTGTTAACTTTGAGGAATATCTCATTTCGATCTGTAAACATGGTGGGAGAAGATTATCTTGCTAAATGCATTTTCATTAGTCTTTCATTAGTCCAGCCTTTTGATGCAATGAGACAGTAACACTTTGGATAATATAAATGTATTTCATTTTTATTGTGTACAACCCAAATTATATATTATTTCCAACAGCATATTTCCACATTTTTACATTTAATATATCTGCAACTTGCTTCAGTAGTATTTATATAAATCTTAAGATGAATAATCTTTTACTTACAGAATAGAAATGCAAGAAATACTGACATCACAGGAAGATCATTCAATAGAGGCTGCTGAGGATAAAGGTGACATTTGACTTCTGTTTTATCTAATTCTGTGTTTCAAATCATTTAGCAATTTAGTTTTTATGCAGATTTTGCAGTTTCCATTTCCTTTTTACACTCAGCATCTAGAAAAATGCGTTTATATTACTACTTTTTGGGCACTCATTTCTATGTGTCTTTCTTAGTGGATGTTACAGAATAGAGACATGTTTCAAATCAGCCAGCACAGTAGCAGTTTTCAATAAATCCGAAGGACAGAACCCTCTATCTCCTCTAGTAACTTTTTAAGTGGGTTATTAAATGTATTGAAAGTTCCTACTCATAAAAAATCTGTATCCCCTCACAAGTTAGAAAACATTGTTAGAATTTAGCCAATAGCTAATAAGAAAATCGCAAAACTAACTGATTTTCTGTTCTTCTGAGAAGCTCAGCCTGGAGCAATTAAAGGGGAGTGAAATTATTTCAGGAGTGGCTCTCTTAACATGCATTAAGAATTGCTGAATCCAGTAGCCCAGTATAGGTGAGGCTTATGCAGCTCCATGTCCCCAGGACCATGCAGTAATGAGTCTTGAGCATGTATTCCCATGTCCCCTTTCATCCTCTTCTACTCTGTTATCCATGCTTGCTCCTCCCCAATCCACTTTGATTCCTCCTTCTCCTTGCCTTTGGTCCTTCTCAGAAATGTTTTGTAGCATTGCAAGTCTCTCTCAATCCCAAACTGCTTTTCCTGGCATCACCTAATGAATCTTACACCCTGTAGGCAGAAATCCCCCTCAGCCAGGGAGAGCCTTTCTGGCTAACCCGTCTCAATAGATACCACTCCCAGACGATGCCTTCATCAACCTCTTTTAATGACCCTGAGAGGAGCCAAGTTAAGGTTATATTTTTTATTGATTAGGTTATTGGGGTTCCCTCACCTGTCATTGTTCCTCCCCTCTTTTGTGCTTATGAAGATGAGCCTTTAATAACATAACCTACCAACATTAAAAATGGAATTACGTGTTTACATGAGGTTTCCCCTCCAATAATAATATTAATAAAACATTTTGTGTAAAGACTTTCTTACTTGGCTTCTTTCTGTACTTACAGAACCGCACATTATATTGGTTTAGTCACTCTTTATATCCTGTAAAGATCCTACTTTTATATCAGAATTGTACTATGCTTTCTTTTTAGCAAGGAAAATGTAATTGTTCCGGGCAGGAGTGAATAATCGGTGAGGAGTGAGATTTTGAGGGCAGGCCAGCTCTCAAAAATCGACTGCATTTTTGCACATCAACCAATTCTGTCAGAATTCTCTCAATACTAAATTGAGATTTAGTATCAATTCCAGTTAGTTTCAACGTTTTTGAACCTCAACAGTCAAGAGAGTTGCAGGGTTGTACATTCCTTTTTACCTTCTAGAATCACTGCCTACTTTCTTAGTAGAAGATTGCTGTCTGATTTGGAGCTGCTGTCAAGAAGAAGTACCATGCAGGAGTATCTGTCTCTACACTAAGAAATAGGTTGGGGACTTCAGAGTACTTTCTTCTTCTGCTATGGAATCGCAGGGTTTCTCCATCATAGCCTAAATTATCACCTAAGGCTCGGAGCTGAAATGAAAAATTGAAGCACATGAATTCCCACTTCTTTTTTCGCTTATCAGTGGGGGCCTAGACTGCTGTTATTGTCTTCCTTTCAAACACAACATACTGGTTTCTGTAGAAAAATACTAGGGCCAAGCTTAATTTCTGTATTGTCAATATCTCACGTACACTTTCTTCCGTTGTGCGTTCTGGCATTTATTTTACCTATCAATAACAAGTCATAAAGGTAGTATAAGATAGACTGAATATGATAACATGCTTTTAATTTTTAATTAGGTTACAGTTCACCTACTCACTGAAAAAAATACTCTGGCTTTGTAGAGTTCTTTAAATTACGTGTAAACTTAAAAAAAATTCTACATTCTAACTTTTTATGGTTTCTAATAAAACACAGAGCTCTTCTTCAAAGTGAATGAGTTTTAAAGTATTAAATATGAAGCATTCTACATAGGTACTCTATTATCTCTGTCTCAAACAATGAAGTTCGTCTTAGTTTTGAATATCTAACTCATTTTGATCTGAGTACATCAAAACAACAATTATTAATGATAGAATTAATAATGTCATATACACACTTGTGCTCTTAACACGTGCTAAGTCCTTGTTCAGAGAAAATCATGTTTTCCTATGCCTACATTTGATTTCAATAATCAAATACTGACTCACCAAAACACTTCAGTCATGCTGCTCTTAGCCTGACATCTGGTTTATTTCACACGTAGTGCCATCAGCACATTGACTGCAGCTTTTCTCCCATGTGACATGTCTTTGCAAAAATATAAATGAATGCTTTGTTCACAGTTTGGTTATTTTTTATATATAGCAGTTATGATATAAAAATGAAAACTCAGAAAAATACTCCAAATCCCCAATCATGCTCTTTTAATGTCTCATATCATATCATATGGGAATGGTTCACAACTGCACCAGGGGGGGCTTAGACTGAACATAAGGAAGCATTTCTTTACTGAGAGGGTGGTCAAATGCTGGAACAAGCTCCCTGGAGAGGTCGTTGGTGCCCCAAGCCTATTGGTATTTAAGAGGCATTTGGACAATGCCCTTAATTAATATGTTTTAACTTTTGGTCATCTCTGGATTAGTCAGGTGGTAGGACTAGATGATCGTTAGAGTTCCCTTCCAACTGAAATGGTCTGGTCTGGTCTATTCTATGCAAATAAATGTGCATTTCAATAATTGCAATAATAATAAATAATAAATATAATGATAATTCAACCTGCACATGTTCAGCCATTTCCTCTTTAGTCTTTGAAGAGAAATGCTTTTTAGAATCAATTGTAAGTATAACATTTACCAGACAGTTGATGTGGGCTCAGTCCTACAGCTTCCAAATATATTTCCTTTGTTTTTCTTAGCTGGCTTGCATCCTGATTTGGTTTTTTTCTACCTCTAACTGAAGACTTTATGTTGAGAGGGTTTGAACAAGGACAGTTTATTAATCTGCTGACAAGGGACAGCAAATTACTTGTACCACAATCTTCAAAGCAAGCTGTAGTGATACTAGTTTCACAGTTTGCTCAGTCTTTGAGCAAAGTTGCATAATTTTCAAACCCAATTTCCACCCTCTTTCATAAGCCAGATATGATAATTACATTCTAATACCTGTAATCACAGCATTTTAGACAGAGAAATTTCAAAACTTGAAACAGAAAGGTTATAAACAACTTTCTCAGATCCCAAATAGCTTCCATTCTTAAATTCTTTTAGTTTCTCATTCAGAGAAATAAAGGCTAAGGGATATTTGTTTAGTACAGTTATGCATTCCTTCACAGAAAAAAAGAACAAAAGCCTGTGATTAGAGCTATCCACCCTTCTGGAAGCTCTTGTCACTTTCTGAACATCTGTAGGAAAAAAGACATCCTCCTAATTTACTTTGTTTAGGGTCTGTCCGTCTGTCTTCCTTGACCCTATCCAGCAGCAGTCTTGTAAATGAAATCTCTTTAAGTGTTCAGACACAATGTAAAAATTTAGACATGTGTAGTAGTTTCTGTGCTACAGCTATTTCCCTTGAAGTCTCTAGGACTGTCTGGGATTAAGTTATGTATGCATGTGAGAATTTGCATGCTGACAGCCTTAACAAAGTGTCTTCCATTTTGCACTTATTTTTCTGCATGCCATTTTCCTCTTTGTGTATATTATGGACTCCTGTTTTATTTATTACAGAGCATCAAAATTAATTTTGCTTGACTGCATTCCTGTATATATCAAAAGAAAATAAAGAACTAGAATAAGTGAAGAATTTTCTCAATTTGACACGTTAAAGGTTTTGGGGTATTGTCGACATTTGTTTATGGGAAGAAATTTCCTGATATGGCATAAATCAGAAATTCAGTGTTTCCAACCTGTTTTTCATGATGTTGTGGTTCCTTTGCCAAAAAAAAGAGAGATGTACATGAAAACAAATGCTGTAATTTCAGATTTTAAAATACATTCTTGTTTAATAGGATTTGAGTTTTGGGTAATCATAACATGTTAAGATGTACTAGTGGTGGTCTATTACTCTGACAATGGTCTAAGGACATAAGTAAAACAAAGCTTGTAGGAAAAAGTAATATTCTTTATTGACCAACTAAGGGAAACATTACAGCAGCCTTCGGGTGCACAAGCCCTTCTTCAAGTCAGAAGCACTTCTGCCCAGTAGGAGCTGTTCTGTAGAACAACAAGTGCGCTCTTTGGCAAGGTCTTGTTTGTGAGCACAGTTTAAAGCACAGAACACGGAGACTATAATGAATAAAAAATATTCTTATGTAAAAGCACTGAATTAAATAAAGTATCTCTCCACTTTATTCACGGTCGTGGGGCATCAGATAGATGGGCTACCTTTCCCGGCAGAGCAGGTAGCTGATCTTGAAATGTTTTGGTCAGTGTGCAATCCCTGAGCATTAAAGTAACTAACTCCTTTTTGCAGGTGATCACATTTAAGTTTTGCGGTGTCATCCAAGCATATACCCTCAATGGATTTGTTAAAGTTAATAATGATTTTATTTGTGCCAACAGAATTTGAGGACAACAACGAGCAGTTTCCAACTGAAATTGAACAAATGCTCCAGAAACAGTCCTCTGCAGTCAGTAAAGAAGAATCTGAACCTACAGGTTAGCCTTGTAGCACGTATAATCTCTTACTTGCTGGTATCAAGAATTATATGCCTTCCTTTTCTTCAAGCTTTTACTATATTTGAAAACTGGCTTTAAGTATCATTCCTTACCTTTTTTTTTTAATTAGTTTATAGTGGAATAGTCAGGTTCAAGTTAATTAAACACTTATAAAATCAATTAAAGGCACGTTGTTATTTCCTGTTAAAAATAACGCACCAGGTATTTGCACTTTGAAAAACAACAAAATCCCACTATGGCCTCTACTGCCTAAATACCAAATTAATATGTGTGTACACAGATCTATGGAATTAACAAATAAAATGAGCATTGCTGAAATTCCAGGTTGACATAACCTCTAGTATTCAGAAATCTATGAGCACTCTCTTCAGGATGAAGTGAAAAGGGCAGGAAATCAGAATTAAAAAAAAAACCCTTTAGAAAGTCACTCTTACTGATTGTGACCCCAAAGAGAAGAAAAAGTAGAAAGAAGAAAATACCAGGAAAAAATGGGGACACCCTCCCCTAGGAAATAAACAAATTGCAGTATTCACAAACACCTACATGTGATTTTAACAAACTTTGGTTCTATGGACCATTTCTAAATTAACGTTATATCCACATTAATCAGAAATTACTAGTCCATTCCCTGTGGCAAGGGATCTTGGGAAAAATGGGAATGGGTGAATTTTAACTTTGGATGTGAATGATCCATTGTCCTGCTAACAGCTTCCTAGATTTCATAGGGAATCATGTTTTCTTTTTCGTATAAGGTAAAATTCTGCAGCACATGAAAATATGTCCTGTATTTTCCTTAGTCATCCATTGTCCTGCTAACAGCTTGCTAGATTTCATAGGGAATTATGTTTTCTTTTTCATATAAGGTAAAATTCTGCAGCACATGGAACTCTGTAGAACCATAAGCTAATGAAAAGATAGATGAAATCATACAGTAGCCTTCTCTCAATAAATACTTTGAAGGCAACTTATTTGAATGGAGATGTCTGGTTTAGTTTTTAAAATATACGGTTTAGCTTTTATCTACCAGAATTTTTAGAATATGTTAAATTCCAAAAGAGAAATAAATCCAACATAGAACATTTTGTTTTAAATAGCAAGTTGTTAAATATACACATTTTTATGGATTAGAAAGAATCAACTTAATCTGTAAACCAAACTGTTTTTTTTTCCAAACGCCATGAATCAGTACACCTGATATAAGCTTGCCTACTAAGTCCGTTTCACTGTAATACGCTGAAAATTATTTGGCAGCATGTATTTCTAAGTAATGAAGAGTCCATATAAAAAAACCACATAGTTTCAAAAAGAGAAATGAAAGTATATTCACAATGAAATACATATCAGTTCCAAGGAATGGAAGTGTTGCTGTTATCCTACATTTTGCCTTTCTGTTTATTTTGGTAGTCAGACTGTAATGAAGAAGATATGCTGGCTTCTGGTATCTCTGTCTCAGCTTTGGCAGGGTTTGAGAGGGGAGGAAAGGAGGATTTTTTTACCTTTTTTGTTGCTGAATATGGACTGCGGGCAGACAAAGTCCTATCTAATACCACCAGAACACTGCAAAAAAAGGCATTAAAGCCTTTCCTTCCCCAGCAACTCACTTGGAGAACATGGGGGCAGAAATCCTTTGAGGACTGTTTGTCTCTATGGTAACTATACTCAGTAAAGGCAAAGAAGACGCAGAGCAAAAGAATATGAGAGATTGCCTTACAGGCATTCCCTGTGAAACTCCAGATTTAGGGCTGGGGAGAATTTTTTCCTGGCAGCTCTGTGGTAAGGAAAAAAAATTAACAACAGCACTGTTAGATAGACCACCACCTCATCTGAAGGAAACTCATTTGCATTTTTAGATCCATTTATTTATAAACCATTACTGTCTTTTCAGGTATTTTTCTGGACTGTGTTTCTTATTTCTTTAAAAACATCTTCTCGCCATAAATCACCTCTGCAGACAGAATTGCTATAACTTAGAGCCAATGGCAAAGGTACAGCTGCCTGCCTTACTCAAAAACATTTGCAGTATTTTTGGTCCTGAAGACCCAGTTTGAAACAACCCAAATGCCTGGAGGCAACATTTTTGTCCTAATAATGTTCTAATACCTGCACCATAATCCAATAATATATGGGTTGATCAATTTTTGGGTTGTCCCTTTTCCCTAGGAAGGTAATCCTTTCTTCTTCAGTTACTTCTCCCCTATTTCCAGGGGAAAGTTTCTCCAGTTTTCTTAGGCCTGTCCAATCTATTTGAAAACTCCCTAAGTATGCAATAATTATTGCTGGATAAGTTTCCTTAAGCAGGGAAACTCAGATAGAGGTGATCTGATGCAATTATGTGCCTAGAATAGAGAATCAAAGCTGGAACACATGCTGGTCCTTAATTTGCTAAATACAGGAAAGGTGTAAGTGTAACTGAGATCAAGTTTCATATGGGAAGCACTCTATTGAGTGGGCTTGTTACCACATTCAATATTCTGTCTCAGATGATGTCAAATATTCATTTAAGACATTATCTGCCTGTATATTTCCAAAGTTTCGTGACCTGCTCAGAACTGGGAGGCTTTCAAAGGGCAGTACTGTAGAAGAGGATCTGTTGAAGGCTAGATCCAGACAGCACGCGTTACGCCCTTCCATACGTAATTGCTTTGAACAGGGTTGTGGTTCACGAGGCAGCACATGTGATTCTGCAGTGTGAATGTGCCAGGGATAACACGTGCAAATAGATGTTAGCATAACCTAGTTGTTAATGTACCCTTTGCTTATTTTCTTGAAATCTGTCTTCCTAATGGAATCATCATTACATAATGCATTAGAGCTGACCAAATTTAAGCAGGTTTTACCTGGCTACATCTCTGTCTCATTTGGAATACATCACTGCAGAATGCAGCATAATGAACTGTAGCATTTCCACAACATCTTTTAATGCACATAAAAAGGAAGGTATTTTCACGTTCCTGTTTAGAATCACAAGAGACGGAAATGACATTGCAGGGGATAACTCCTGTAATGACATACATAGAATGAATATGTAGTTTAGTAAAATGCAAATGTTTACAAACATTTTCAAGAAAAAATATTTTCTAATTCAAGATCAGGCTATTTGAAATCTGCATGGTGTTTCTGCTTAATGAAAATGGAAAATTTTGCACTTTCGGTTTAAGTTTAGACTAATAAACATTCAAATAGAGGGAGGGTTAGTCACTGAGGTGTCAGGCTAATAGTTTTGTTGTTCAAAGCTGTAATGAAAGAGGGAAAATGCATTAAGTATTCTTATAAAAGATCACAAAAATACTTGCCAAAGTGCTTATTTATTAACCTGTTATTTAAAAATGGCTCAATTAAAATACAGTTTTGCAGTTCACCTTGGGGACAGCATGTCAGGGCACTGTGAGGGCCAACTGCTCCCAAAGAAACAGGCACTTGGCAGCACAATGTGGTAACATGACTAGCAGGACAGGGCCTGGCAGACAGAACTGGTCCCACCACCCCATCCATGAGCAGGGCAGCTCCAGCCCCAGGAGCATTGGGCTCCTCCCTGGGGACAGGGACAAGCTGAGGCTGGGCCAGTATGGTGGCCCATGGTTAAGTCCTGCTTGGCAGAGCCCATGGCCAGGCATGGCTGTGGGGAGCTGAAGACCAGCCCTGCTGTGTCATTGCTGGGGAAGGAGCTGACATGGAGTCCTGGGACATGGGCAGGTGGGGGCAGCCCCAGAGGCCTGGGCAGGGACAGCCAGGCCCAGGGGTCCCCTTTGGTCCCAGGACCAGCATACAAATTGCCATAGAGGGTCTGATTTATTTAAAATCTCAGTTTATTGTATATATAATTGAGGTAAATGGGAGTATTGAGGTAATAAAAGTTTCAGCCTTATAAGCGGAAGGATAAAATTTTTAAAAGGACCTAACTATCAAGGAATTTACCATATTTCTATAGGATTACCCATTCAGAACCAGACCCATAAGGAGATGTAGACATTGCAGTGCCCAAAACTGCCATACTAACTTTTAAGTGCCTGGCTTCATATATAAAATTAACGGCTGTAGAAATAGGAACATCAAGTAGCAAATGAGCAAGGGGCCAAGCTTAGTGAGCCATGAAGATATATCAAAAGAAGACATGTATTTGAAACCCTCATCTTTTTTGGCTGGTGACCAAAGAAGGGGAATCCCTAGCTCTAGTTATTTGGCATCTAACTCACTGGAGGCAGGGCACTGCCTTGCCTCCTTCGAGACAACAGAGGTGGCACTGACCTCTGGTATAATAGCTTCGTAGGTAGCTTAGTCATCAAAGTCAGAAAAATCTGTTAGATGTGTTCCTTGTCCTGCAAGCACTCACATATCCCAGCTGCTGCTGACACTTCCAGGTGATGCTTTAGTTGGTAGCATATTAGACAAAAATTAGGCAGCATCTCTACTCTGACCATTATGTTTAGTCCTGTTTCCTGCCAGATCTTACTGGTACCTTATCACTGAAATCCACCTACATTGTACTCAGTAATAGCATTTTTTGATCTATCTCTATTTTAGAAAATTAAATGTGGCATTTGTGGTTATCTTAAACAGTCTACAAGAGAAGTCTGAGAGACCTTTGGTTCTGGGAGGAAGTACTAGTCTTCTCAAAGAAGAAAATTGTAACAACAGGGTGGTCTAACTCATCATGAACCAGAAAAATTTTTGGATTTTTCAGGTTTGCGCAAACTCAAAATGAACATTACAGTGCTGCAATTTCACATGGTGAGCACTGGCCTGCTTAATGCCAGGGAGTAACCATAAAGCACTGTTTTGTAAATGTTTTGGGGTTTTGTATTTTTACAAAATTGCTCAAAGCCGATCACATACAAGGCATTAAGTAAGGCTGTCATTTTTAGTAGTGCCTCTTCTTTTTATGTGTAGGAAGTTATGTAAGAAAAAATAGTAGTAATGGTTCTTTTTTGTAAAAATCAGTAAAAGTTCATTGGAATAGGCTGAACCTGTTGTTTGTGTCAAAATCTGTTCCTGCTTTTTCAAACTCAAAACAAGACAAACAAAAAGAGAAGGGTAAAATTATAGCAAAGTAGAAAATCACTCCATCTGCTGTTCCAGGCTCTTTCTTACAGCTTCTTTTCTGGCAAGAGACAAACACAGCATACACTGTAAGTCCCAGCAAATTTACAGTAGTATGTGACCATTTAACTTTTATGCTCTCAACTGCTTTTCTGTCTGTTAGATGAAGGCACTGATAATCAGACTTATGAAACAGAATACAAAGGAAAAATTATAAGGAAAAGAAGAAAACGAGGGCTGAAAATTATGAGTGAAGGGAATGGGAATAGCAACACCACACTGCTGCTGCCAGAGACTGTTCATGATTTAGTAAAGAGAAGGTGGTGATGGTGTCATCTAGGCACCTCTGTATCTTCTTCTAGCTGAGACAGAACTTTGTCTCAGACTTTCAGGGCCTAACAGTGTCTAAATGGATATTAATTGCAGCCCTAGGAGCCAATGAGTGTCTCCCTCCTTTCCTGTTTATGTGTCAATATCAAGTTTTTAATTCAACATCTGCTGTCAGTACCAAGTTTTTAATTCCTCTGGCTTATCAGCAAAAGAGATTGCAGTGGGAGCAGCTATCCCTTTGCTATTTTGCTCACCAAGTATGACAACACAATTGGTATGGTTTTGTCATGTTTATGATGAGTGGTACCTGTGAATTTCTTACTTATATTAATGCATTCTTTCAATCTCTAACTTTTTTTTTACTTTTCATGAGACAGTATTAGGAGACAGACTTGGACTTCTCTGATCTTAAACAATTTACACTGAATTTCTGCACAATGTATCTTGAGATGAGATGAAAGTCTTTTCTTTCCCTCACTCATTGAACAAGTCATTGCGTGCAGACATAGCTTCATTAAACCCAAAATTTTTGTCAGAGTTTCTCGGTCAAAGTATCCACAGAGAGAAGCCATGCTACACTTTTAAAAAAAATTTTCATTTATCTCTTAATTTGTGTTTGTATTACTGTTACTATCATGTACTGCTTGAATTGGAGTGTATTGACTGGCAGATGGGATTTACATCCACAGATTTTTTTTCTTGTAAAACTAAGGATGACTTTTAGCCTCCAGAAAAATGGATTACACTTTTGCATCTCATTGGTGGCACTTTGTAGAATTACTCCACACATACGTGCATCTGTATAGCTTCACAGCACCAGTATTTGGGTTCTGTAAGTCACAGGTATAACACGCCTCTGTCGGCAATAGTCAGCATCAGAGCCCTGCAATGTATACCTGAGAAAGTGCAGAGGGAACAGAACACACAGAGTCATGCTCTAAACCTAGGCTGCTGCGACTTTGCAGCGGCTTTGCCGACAGTGTAAGAGAAACTGTTCCCGAGAATGCTGTGAATAACACCGTGACTTTCAAGTATGATGCTACTCCTCCATTTTTTGTGAGGAACTTCAGCCGTCAACCCCTGTGTGTTCTGCCCAGACTCAGTAGGATAAATAGAGGCAGTATCTGTTTCTTCCAGAACGATGCATTGTCGCACTAATTTTAGCGTACTGAACCATTTAGCTGGGAAGAGCCAAAATGTATCAACAGATAACTTATTCTAAATGGGGATTCTTATTATTTGAAAAGAAATTTTAAGAGTGAATAAGCACAAATAGATGTTTGAAGGCTGATTTAGTTTGGAATTTTTAAAGTTATCGACCTTAAATTGAGGATAAAGCTCTCTCTTTTTTTAATCAACGCCAGTTCTTTTATTATATTCAGCATATTTTTAATGCAGATATAGTGCATAATTTATGGCATTATCTGCTGTAAAATTTATTTTTACATTACATGTGTATGACCAAATTGTCTCTGAATACGTAACAGATAACCCTTTCATTAACTTCTGTACATCTATAACAATGTGCAATTGGAAAGATGCATTCATAACGCTTAACAGGCCTGATTTAGTGGTTAAAGCACACGAATGAGGCTTGAAAGTCAGAAGAAATTAATCCCCTCTTTCTATTCTGTTGCAGACTTAGTTGTGAAATGGAAGTATTCCAGTTCTCTGAACAAATAGATCTAAATTTCAAGCTGGTTAACACCCACAATTTCTGTTTAATTTAACGGGCAAAAGTGTGTTCATCATCTCTGCAAAGTTTAAACATTAGGTATCCAGGAATCAAGACATTCCTATTACAGATCACTTTTAAAAGGTGGATCATAACGTCTGTGCACCTGTCTTGCCTCCTTTGTTAGTTATGGTTAGAGGCATCAGTTGTAATTTGTTTAAGATCTCATATATTGTATGGTTTAGTGTTTTAGCTCACAGCTTTGCCTTCATCAGTTTAGGATTTCAGCCTTCTATACCACCTCATATCCTTGATATTTACACTGAAGTGGACTTCACTGTTTAGTCATGTCTTTTTCCTTTCTCCTCTCAATATCTTCTATTTTCTCTGCAATTTGGCCATGTTGATCTTTATATATGTGTGCCTTTGAGTAAGTGAAGGTTTAATTCATTAACATGTGTCTATTGAGATCTTGTGCTGGAGAGGAAAAAACACCTAGTAGTATGGATTATATTTCTATTCACTTAAAGAGAACATGCTCTACTTGAAAAAGAACAGAAACCTAACATGCAACCTGAACACTCCACAGCAGCTTCAGTAACCGAACCTGAGACAAGTCAGAACATGAAGTTGCTTCTTTGCAGTATATGCGAGTTTTCGTACTATTTCTTCCTATTCTGGCATGTTCCCTATGAGGCATGACCATATGGATAGCATGTCAAAAACTGTTCATCATTAAATCAGAATTTCTGAATTAATGTGTATTTCTTTGCAGAAAGAGACATATTTATTTGTGTGCTGATATAAATAACCATATGCAAATTTAGTTACATAACTGGAACTTGTTTATTTTCCTGGAGTAGCATCAGTATATACCATGTCTACATAATGAATTTGTCATTTTCAAAGTGTCTTTGTAATACAATAATCCATAATTACACGGGGTGTGGAGTGAAACAGCATTAAAAATAAAAAAAGCCATAATATTTGAGGAAAATAAAAGTAATCCTAAAGCCTAATGGTAGTCTTGAATGCAAAATATTTTAGAGGAGCATTGCCTTCTGTATACTGTTTGATTTTCAGAAATCATACTACCTGAGTTTGCAGAGGATAATTTTCCAGATATACCAGAAATGGAAATAATTAAAAGGAAGATTGACCTTTTCATGCATGACTGGCAAACCGTGGAGTCAGAAATCAAGCAGTCATCTCTAGTTCAGGTTGTTGTTTTAGAGATTGCTGATCAAACTCCAGAGAGTCTGCTTAATCAAATTGTGCTGGTTATGGAAAGTAAGTAATACTGTTTATTTGATTTACACTAAACCTACCAAGAGGAATTTTGGAGAGCTTATATGATGAATATATTGAAGGGGGAGGTTAAAAAGAGTTCTGTATTACTCCCATGAAATGGGAACAGGACATGCTGTGTTCTGTGGGTGAGATGAAAAGCACACTAGCAGAGTGGGAAATATATATATTTGAAAAATATCTGTATGGCTCTACAAATATGTACATAATAACTCCCTAAACATTCTGAAAGCACATTTCCCCAGTTACTTGCTCTATGTCAGGATACTGGTTTGAGAAATGAACAGCTAACAAAGGTTCACCAATGTACAATATAATATTCATTGAAGTAAATGAGACTGTCAGGGTGTCTAATAATCTGATCTACCCATCTGCATAGATTGTGTTTCAAGACCAGATTGTTACAGTATTGACTATTATTTTGGCAAATTACTCTTCTTTGCTTGTGTGCTCAAATCCCTAACAATTTTGTGTACTGGATAAATAATACTACATTTTTCCTATTGTTACCGCAATGTTTTATTAATCAAAGCATCTATTGTGCTAGCTTGACAATCAAAATTTGACTGATGATTTTCCTCAATGAACAATAAGGAAAAAATATTATCTACATGTGTTTGTATAATACTTATGTACTACATGTTCCCATTGAAAATACCAATTTAATTCAACTAAATAGCAGCCAGTAGAAGTTCCATTTTTGGATGAAACAGTATATTAATTCCTACATCCAGTGAGAACATTTTGTTCTGTGAGTAGGAGAAATGCAATATACAGTTGGCATGATTTGCCTTCACATATGTGCTTACTTTTATGGACAAAGAGAATACATTCTGGCATAGCCAAATGAAACATGTTGAAAGAGAAAAAAAAATATTAACCTTTTCAGAACCTTTTAAATACCATGGTTGGGAATTATCAACTGAAGACTTAGATGAGGAAGCAGAAGACCTGGCTGCTGAAGAGGAAGATGAAGAAGTTGAAGAAGAGGAAAATGAAGACGAAGAAGTAAGCATGCTGGCTTTGTCCCTTTTTGCTTTTATTCTAATTCATTTATTTTCAGTTTGAACATAACCCTAGAGAAGTTAAATTTTGCACCAGATTTTTTTCTGATCCAGTTTCAGCCTTCTTACAGAATCGATGTCAGCATATGCTTAAAGTACACTTTCATTCTATTCCTATGTTCTGGCTGATGGTAGTTTTACTTCAGTGAGAACTATAAATACCTCATGCTAATAGAGAGAATGAATGTACCCAGTTTTACCAGATGGCAAAGAGCGGTGTTATTAAAGAAACAAATGTGAACTTTGATTTCTGTCAACTAACAATGATTCTGTGAGCCATCATGTAAACATCAGAAGATGCAGAGCCCTAATGTGCAATCCTCTGTTTATCTCTGCTATTGATAATTTTCAAACACCCACTTTAATAAAATTAAAGATCTAGCTTCACCTTTCTTTGGTTTTCATCCTATACTGGAAGATGCCCATCCCCAAATCTAACAGTACAAGATATCCATATACTCTACTGGAGCAGTGTTAAATAGGTATTTTTGTAATTAATATTATTTTATAAGTAATCTGACTTCATGATATCAGTTCTCATTGCCTTTTCTGAAGAGGTCGACTTCTGCACATTTAGAAGCAATAGAAAGTGAGTTTCAAGAACATAGCAGGGAAATATTTTATCACAGATACTTCTAGATTAATTTTGGTATTCAACAGCTAAACATGATACTATAGTTTCAAATTTAAAATGGTCATTCTTTTCTCAATAATTGTGTCACTAGACTGGACAGTTTGTTTTTTGACCCTGAATCTAAAAAGTGTGTATTTTCATAGTTTACAAACTACCTTGAGAATACCATTATCATTCAGTGCTCAGTTGATATATTTGACATTGCTTATTTTGATCTACTTGTTCTACACAATCTAAGTGAACTACTGAACTCAAATAGTTTTTGAAAATTTTTGTATTATTTTCAGGATGAAGAAATAACTAAGGAAAAGAAAAGGCACGTGGGAGACACAAAACACTTTTGTCCAGTCAGTCTGAAAGAGAACTTTGTCCTTTACCCAGGACTCCATGAACATGCAGCCAAATATCGAGAAAAGATTTATTACTTTTCAACTTCTCAGCACAGAGATAAATTTTTGAAGAACCCTGAGGAGTATGTGGCTCACAATGAACCAATACAAGTGAGAATCTTCAAAATTGTTTAAAGTAGATAATAACAGATAATAACAATAATTGTGTATCATTGCTGATTTTTTTCTAGATGACAATAAATATTTCAGGCAAGTCCTTGAAACAAATAACCACATTGCTTTTCTAGTCACTTTTTAGTGTACATTTAAATTAACACATTGAATTAATGATGGAAGTAAAGAAGAAAAGAGAGCAAGATTATAAGGACTTACAATAGTCGTAAGATGTGATTACCAAATCACAAATATTGGGGGGGGAGGGAGGGGAGGGTTACTGTCATTAAGTCTTTCTTGTATGTGGACGAAGGGCAAAAGAAGGGAAGATTTACCAGAACTGTCTAATGAGATCTCGTTTTTACCTAGTGGCATCAATTGCCATAGTGTATTTGTTCAGTATTTCCAGAGAGCAGGTAGTGTGTTTGGAACAGCAGTAGAAGGCCTGGAAAAATCAAAACGAAAAATGATGTGATCGGTTTTGATTGAATTTTTTATAATGATATTTTGGAAGTGAAAAACTGTTGAGGGTGCACTGTAGAATCCAAATTGTTATAAAATACTCCAATTCTTTCCTATAGGCTCCTCCCTTACGGGTGTGCTTACTCGGGACTCATGGAGCGGGTAAAACTACTTGTGCACGACAGATAGCAGACAAATTAGGCATTTTCCATATTCAGTTTGAAGAATATCTACAGGAATTGATCTTACCCAAAAGTAAAGAGAAAGTTGGGCCTGATTTTGATGAAGAACCTGAAGATGACAATAAAATGCCAGTTCTATCACAGGTACTGGACAACTTCTCTCAGACCATGGCTAAAACTGAGACTGAAAAAAGCAAACAGGTAATAATCCAGTATTTTTTATGTCCGTACACAAAATAACCATTTTCAGACCAGAACAGCAATTTCCTATAAAATGTGAGCTTGATAAAAATAATTTATGTTAAATTATTTACTTGATGAAATGTGGAAAAACAATGGTTCTTGACAGTGTTTTCCAGCAAAAGCCACCATCATTCTTCAAAACATTTCCAAGAATTATGTCTAGGCTTTTTTTCTAAACAGTAGAGATACATGCTAAATGGGGCAAAGGAACACAAACTGAGGAAAAAAATGAAAGTCAGAATAATAACAGAAAGGTGTGGTTTCCTTCAAGTATTTATAATATGTTCAGTCTGGTGCATGTGCTCTAGTTGCATAGGAATTTAGAAATGTTCACCAGCAGTGGTCTCTGCACTCTCCTGGAGCAAAAGAATAGAATGCCTCTACCAGCCCTTCAGTGTGATCATACCTTCTCAAAAAATTAGAAATATTTCACTGTTCATAACAGGGCAAGCTAGTATATTTTTAATACAGTAGGTTTTATAACCTGGATTGTAGTGTTGACTTTGTCTGAGGGCAGCAGAGTTTCAATCCAGAAAAAAAACCCTCTTAGGTAGCATAAAATAAGCCTTGTAGTTAAAAAAAATGTTTAAAATAGCTGGATATTCATGGTACTGGTAAAATAATTAATGAATGATAGTTTTCAGAAAATTAGTTCTTATTCAGATTGAATACTAGTTGCAAACTGTTGTAAATACACATTCTAAAACCCATCTTTATAGGGTGTAATTTCCCGGAACAACAAACATTTACATAAACATTTATTGGCAGAGAGTGATTTCTTTTATTAGACAGTGATATATTTTGGGGAAAAACAGACAAGGTTTCAACACAAATGAATTCTTCTTTAGACAGCAGTGGATAAGACAAAAGCCTTTACTGTGTGAAGTCTCAACGCACAGGTGCATAGCATATTAACCTTTCAGAAAATGCATAGTACAAAACCATTGAACATCTACCTCCTAAACAATACAAATAAGGGTTTATCCACCTCTCAAAGCTTCAGGAAGAAGTAAGTTTCTACATTATAAATTCTGCATCGTAAGTTTCTGCCTCACATTCTAAGAGACGTTTTCTTTTTGTGCTCCTGATACCTGCTGTGTTCCTTGAAGTTACTAGTTACCAAAGACCTTCAAAGACTTCCTACCACAGGATCTAAGGAAGCATGCAGGAGGGGAAGCAGTCTGCAGAGGAGGCAAACAGAAGCAACATCCAGGCGCAGTATTAGGAAGCTGGACACTCAGTGGAAGTGGAAATGTGTGAGGGATCTGGAAAGGTAGCATGAAGAATCTCTACAGGAACAACACTAGCTAAAGAAAGACCTGGAAAACACAAGTCTACCACTGAGTGGGGCCGGTGACCTTTTGCCAAAAGGCACTGAAAAGGCTGAGATGCTCAATGCTGGTCTTTCTTTGGTCTTCACAAGTACAGTCTAGCCTGTGGCCTTCTAGGTCCCTTGTGCCTAATAGGAAAGCATGGGTCAAGGGTGTTACTACTCAGAGCAGAATAGGATCAAATTTGGGATCATTTATATGACCTGGACATATACAAGTCAATGGGATGCATTCACAGGTGCTGAGGAAACTGCCAAAGGTGCATTCAAAGCCATTCTCTATTATCTTGAAAAGTGGAGAAGGTCCCCGATAACCGGAAGGTACTGTTCCTGATGAAATAATACAAGAGCAGGTAATCCTGGAAGCAAATGCTTCAACATAGATGGAGTACAGATCAAAATCATGGATGTCAGAATAGAAATTCAGATTTTGATCATTTAAATCTAAAAGGAGGTTATTTTGGCAAGTCAGTTTACAGTTTGTTCATCACAGTCAAAAATACAGCAAGTGTTCCTGGCACTGATGATTATGGCTGGCTCTCTCAGCTTTATTTTCTTGGCACCAATACATCCTGTACTAAGGCACTTCTGTTAGTATTTTTTCCTTATCATCTTTTTATCAACTGGTAAACAATCTTCTTCTACATTAGTATTTTTGTCTCGTGCTCTTGTAAAGCTCTTTGTCTGACGGCAGGACCAAAGCACAGCTGGTGCAATTGCAGTTCAGTTGAGAAACCCATTCATTGGTCCATGCATAAAACTCTAGTGGATAACTTCCAAGGTTGTGGACTCCCTAAGCATTTCCCTGAGTTTGACTACCACCAAACTGTCTGACTATCCTGTCTTTCACTGAGCCACTCCCTCTCCAAAATAATCTCATTTAATTTCATTTGTATCATTCACTTTGGCCTAAGACAGTAGAAGCATTATGTATCAACACTTAAGGTAAAGGTCAGCTATAATATTCAAAGCAAAAATGCTAAAGGCAAACAAAATTCACCATGCACTCTGGGAAGTTTAGCAAAAAGATACCAACCATCCTGATTGTTTCAGTGTGTGTCAACCAAAGCCTTCACAGCGCTGACAGGTCTGGGGAGCAACCTCATCCTTCAAACCACTGCTATGTGGCGTGTTCTGTTTTCTGTACCTGGAGTATACATCTCGTGTTTGTTTTATCAGTCAGATACAAATACCATTCAACAGTTCATCTGCAGTGGTGATGTCAGTGATACATTTTCATTGGGATTTTACTGCTTTCTCCCACTTCACACATTTCTTTCAAGATGCCTCTGTTACAAATCTGGCTACCACTTTGCCTTTTTAGGTACCTGTTATGCCATACTAGCATCTTTTAATATATACACCATGTCAGGCACTAGAGAAAATATTACACACACTTGACTTGTGGCTTCCAGCATATTCTCAAGTTCTCTTGGCTACATTATTAAAGTAGGTGTCAGGAAAAGGAATTCTTATTCAGACATGTCCTTGCATCATGCAGCTCCCTACCATCATTTTGAGGGTTCCTGAATCACTTCGGATCCTTTTGTTAAAAAGGGTTATTCCTTTATTTTCTGACAGGTTATACTAACAAATTCTTGAGCAGTTTGGGTTAATATGACTACTACATGAGAAAAGGACAGCAAAACTTTGTAATGAATTCACAAAAGAATGCCAGGGAACAACTTAAATCTATGTGCTGAGAGGGACAGAATAGCTGCCTATTAAGTTTTCTCTCCAGGTGACTTTGGATGCAACTTAGGTGCTTGTTTGATGACCACTGACATATAGAAAACACACTCTTTTAGTAGTGTTTATCAAGTGTTCTTAAACAAATGCAGATGACTTTTTACAAATGAGACCTTTATAAGGTATGGCAGAAAAACATTGAACTCTTTAAAGGATAAATGTCTTTCATGAATTCTGCATTTCTGTTTTCAGGGGAAAAAAGAATCAACTAACTAGAAAATAATAGTGTCTTCTGTTAATAATACCATGAAAAATAAACACAGCTGGTCAGGAACAGTGGTATTTTCTGACTTCTAATGTTTTCTTTTAGCCGGTATACTTGTAAAAACATGTATTTTGATATTGTGACTGATGTAAACTAATCCAGAATCACCAATCTATACCCTCTTTTCATTCTTCTTGACTGCAGTTTGTGTCAGGAAGTCATTTTATGAGAAAGCATCCTCAGCCATTTCAATCACATGCTGCTATGTATTCAGAAAAACAGTTTTTCACAGGAACTTAATAGCTAGATTTCATATTTGAATGCTCTGCACTTGACTAGTCATTAATTCTACTACTGCTCTGTAGAACAGTGCTATCTTTCTGATTTCTGGTCATGTCCCTATACCCAGTAACCTCACATATCTTTCTTTGACATCTTTCTTTGCATCAAAAGATAAAAATTGCTTTTAAAAAGTAAAAAACATGCTGATGTAGAGCAGATAGTCTTCCAGCATGAGAACACGTATAACTTAAGTAAAGAACTTCCTGTAGGCAATTAGGAGAAACTCTGAACATTTCAGCTTCTGTTTCTCTGAATTGAGTGTATGTATAATTAAAAATGTCTCAGTTGTGCTTGGTTTTAGGTTTCATTAAAGCTCATACTGCAGCAACTGCCCCAACTCCAAGGAACTACCCAATCCCAACCACGTTTAAAATATCCCAAAATGTGTAACTTGGTCAAGAAAACAATAAAAGTGTCAGGCAGATATTTCTTTCTGGTTTATGGTTTTTTTTTAAATTTGTTTTGGTTTGGTTTGGTTTCTTTATATAAAGGAAGTGGAGTTAACTGATGAGGAGGAAGCAATCAAAGCAAATCTAATGGATAATGAGGCATTGCCCCCAGAAGTCCTTGATAACATTGTTCTTGACTGGTGGAGGAAAGAGCCATTCCGGTAACTGTGATTAGATTCTCTTTCTTTAATTAGTCTTAAGAAGTGTATCATCCACTGTGTTCACAATTACAAATAACTATTGCAGAGATTATCCTAATGCTTCTGTATTTCCCATAAATCATGACCTGCCACTCAGTCTTAGTTTTGTTGCTCTATTTTGATTGGCATTTTAACAATACTACAATGTTTCATACTCTCTACTCAGGGCTGGAAAAAAGTACTTAATGTACTTGAATTGGATTGAATCTTCTGAATAGCCAGGTAGTTTTTTGTGGGCTTACAGGACAGATACATAAATAAACCTGTTATGTTGTCATGTAATTAATAATCATGGAGAACTGGAATCCAGCTGTAACTATTGGTTTCCATATACTGTAAATACAGTGTGGAAAGCAAAGACAAAGTATCAATGGTCTCCAAAATAACACGGAATTAGGTTATCTTGTGCATTCATCACAATCTGTACTCCTCTCATGTATCCAGAACAGACTTCCTTTCATACCAGAAAGTACATCCATAACACTGTGATAAATGTGGATTAATGTTGCATAAATAAATAAGATAAACTCCCAGAAAGCAGACTGGTATTTAGTATGTCATTTCAGCAGGGAACTTCCCTTTTCCCATGTCCTGTCTCTTCCATCCATTTCTGTCCAGATCATAGCTGTGGGAGGCTTGGCTATTAGGTTTTGATTCCTAACAGTATGAGAAATGCCTTAAAAAGAACAAGGATCCTCAAACAAACTTTTGCCCTGTCAGCCCACAGATAAGGGTTTCTACATCATAAGTTCTGCCTAATAAATTTCTGCATACACTCCATTCTCTCAATGGAGTAAAAATGGGGAGATCAATTTCAGGAAAAAATAATTCACCAAGACAAAAAAATACTCAGCATTACTCATAATATTTTGACACTATATTATATATATTCAGTTTCATCAGGGACTCATGGCAGACGAGAACCTTCCACAACATATATATCATGATCCATATCCTCCCCCCAACTTTTTTGCACAGCATCCAGGACCACCTGTTCTTCCATTCACACCCGCTCCTTGTAGCTTCTTTGGTTTTATGCAGTTTTACAGTGTATCCTATCAAGGTCTGAAGTAATAATGAGAAATATTAACTTCTTAATAACACAACATTCAGCTTTACAGAACTACTCATCTAATTTGAGATGTAGGAGCTCCAGCAAGCCACAGAGCTTTCCAGACATACCTGACCTGTTTTTAATATCTGCAGGAACGGAGATGTAGTTCATGCTGAGTGGCAAAATTCTCATCCTACACCAGAGAAAAAATTGTCAGGCCTTCCTGAAAACTGAATTTTCAGGTGAAAAGCTTTCTGTGGCAGATCTTACCAAAATAATGTTTGGGGCACCTTGTTTTTTTGAGAGCAGCAGCTAAGAAGTACTGGTTTTAGTCACACAAGCAATACTGAGGACACAATCTGGGGTTTTAAAAGTTATTTTAAAATAATTAATCTCTGCATATTAAATCTTCAGAAGAAATACATTTGTTAGTACACCAATTAAAATACATAGTGAAGTATCAGTTTTACATTGTCAAAATAAAATACCTGAAAGTATTTTTTGAAGTTCACTCTTAACATATACATTTAATAAAGGAGTTTAATTTTTTTTTTCAAATTAATTGCATTTTCAGTATCGCAATTTAAACCACATTGTGTAATGATAAGTATCTTATTTTCCAATTAGGTCGACAGGATTTATACTGGATGGTTTCCCTCGTACTTCAGATGAAGCCCGGTATTTGTCAGAACGTGGACTCTGTCCTGATGTTGCAGTTTATATTCAAGTAGAAGAAAGGGATGTTCTTGACCGTCTTTTTCCTCCACGTCTGAAAAAATGGAAAGAAAGACAGTACAAAAAAATGGAAAATATAAAGAAACTGAAAGACCTGAAAGCAAAAATAAGGGTGAGTTTTCAGTCCTATCCACTTTTTTGTAGTTTCAGCAGCACAGGTTTGAACACAGATTCCAAAAGTCCCAAAGCAGTGAAGAGGACACAGAGAAATAGATATGGGAGCCAGTAGACACAGCCTCACACTTTCACAGCATTCCCAGATTTACCATAGGAACCAAAAAGAATTTAGAGCTCCTTTCCTCCTCTGTGCAAATAATTCATGCAGGAGTTTAGATATCTCACAGCTCAAGCAAAGTAACTCTGCTGCCAGACAACTGTCAGCCTGACAGAATGCCAGACACCTAGAAACTCCTGGGCAGAAGGCAACTAAATGGAGACAGTGAATATGGCAATAAAAAAACCAAATACACAGCTCACTCATGGTACTGTTGTTGCATCCCGATTCCCTGAGCATGGACTGTTGAGTTATGCTTTTTTTGCCCTGGTCTTCACTGTCAAGGGCACAAGCCATACCCCAGAGTCACGGAAGACAAGGGCAGGGACTGGGAGAATGGAAGGCCACCCATGGTCGGTGAGGATCAGGTTCGGGAACAGCTGAGGAACCTGAAGGTGCACAAGTCCATGGGACCTGATGGTCCTGAAAAAACTGGGGGATGGAGTTGGAAAACCTCTATCCATCATATCTGATAGGTTGTGGCGGTCTAGTGAGGTTCCCACTGACTGGAAAAGGGAAAACATAACCCCCATCTTTAAAAAGGGGGAAAAAAGAGGACCTGGGAAAGTACGGGCCAGTCAGTCTCACCTCTGTGCCTGGCAAGATCATGGAGCAGATCCTCCTGCAAACCATTCTAAGGCACATGGAGAATGAGGAAGATGGAGATACGACCTGGTGGATAGAGGACAGGCAAC